GCTGTAAGCCCAACAGGAGATCATGGCAACTATGACACAATGTTGTACAAGACCTGTTGGTTAAGACCATCTTGAAGTCAGTCAGGACAGCAGCTATGAATCATGATGGCTCAGGTTGCGACAAGCAGGAGTGCTGAAACATTGGTGTAATGGACAAAGACAATAAAGAGTTCCTGATGAGTGATGTGACTATCCTGTTTGAGAATTGATACCCGCGGGAGAAGTGTTACGATGTCCCAGTGCAGGCGCTGATCGTTGGGACACTTGGAGCACGACCTGAGCAATGAGAGTGTCCCACAAGCCTGCAGAGTATCCCACCGCTACATGAAACTGATGTGGCACTTTATGGCATCTGATACCACCTAATGGTCAGGGGACATCTACATCAAGCACATCATGGGCCATTGCCAATATGAAGACAGCTGCATGAGACCACTAGCCAGAAGTGAGGCAGAGGGACAGACTGAACCCTTCCCACACATGCCATTGGCTGTGGCAGGCCTGTGCCCCACTCACCATACCACTGGCGTCCATCTGGCCAGTCTGCAGGGACTGGCATCATGCGGTCAGAAGAGGGACTGCAGATTGGTCCAGCCCCTCAAATCTCCCAAGATAAAAGGAACTCACTGATTGCATCCAGGGGCAGCGTAAAGGAGGAGGCACCAGGTGTGCCCCTGAAAGCCTTCTCCATACTCAAAACAGACCCAGTTTGATGGCAGCAGTGCTGATTGCTGGGCAGCATCGGTGTTCAGACTGCAGCAGGGAAAACCTTGTGGCATTTGAGGACTTACTTACCTGCATCATTGGAGCCAGAGACCTGTCCTGGGGCAGGGAGCTCTGGTGAACCAGAGGACACCATGAAGGACCAGACAGCTGGGGGAAAGGACCCAGTTATCAGCAGGGGAGCAGCCACAGAGGGACTGAGGGGTACGGCTCTAACTGTGACCCCACCCACACAAAACCTTGCCAGCAAATACACGCAGGGCAGCCAGGATGGGACCTGGGCAGCCAGAGGGACATCAGTGGGACTGTAACATATCAGGGTCCCAGGGGTGGCTATAATGGCCCCTGGTAGCTCTGAGACCATGCCCTGCTCCGTTCCTAGGGTGCCTTCCTGTCTCTCCTGCTATGCCTTGGTGTTATTTATAATATATAGGGAGGCTGCCCATAGGCTTTCATGAGGCCTCAGTCCCACTGGGCCCCTCCAGTCACTGCCTGTGCCCAGGCCCCTTGTTGGGCTTCACTGGTAACTGTGCCACTGAAGGCACCTTGAGCCTTAAGGGCTAATTTTGTGGTTCCAAATCCTCCCCTTTACCATACCCAGTGCCTCATGGGTGTTATGGTTCCTTCTGTTGGGGCTCTGGCTTCCTCGGCTTCTGCCCCTTTAATCTAGCTACACCTTCTAGCATGGGCCCACTGTGTTGGAACTGGCTTTGAGACGCTCGCTTCAGTCTGTCCCTTCCAGTCACCGGGCCCCTGGCCCCTGTCTGCTGGGTCCCTGGCCCTTGTGTGACTCTGCAGGGCTCAAGGTAGTCAAGTGCTCCCTGGGCACTAATGAGGGCTCCGTACCCCACCACCCCCTCCAGCCTCATCCTAAACCTCTGGTTTGAAAAACAACATAACATAAGCCCCTGGGCTATAATATCATAATAACAAAGTAGCAGCCCTCTGTCCCTGTAAGAAGGCAAACCTTTACCCCTAGCACAGAGTGCCTCCTAGCCAGGGTACCTCGCAAGTTCCCTGAGCCTCCTTGTTCCTGTAGGCAGCAAACAGCCAGCCCAGTATCCCTGGGTGGCTCTCCTGGGTGGAAGCTCCTTCCTTCCCCTGTGGTAGCCAGGGAGAGGCTTCCCCAAGGCAGCCTCAGCCATGGGCTTATAAGCTCCCAGGGCCCTGCCTACATCTAGTCAGGTGGCTGTCTGAGCTGGCTGCTAATTGCCTCATTAGCCCTGTTGCCCTGGCAACTGACAGCTACTGCCCCCTGCCTAGCCTGCAGAGCTCCCTGGCTGGGCTGCTTTTATCTTAAAGTAACAGGAGCCTCAGGCTGTCTGTTACAGGGACCCATCCAAGGGAAGAACCCACCTGGGAGCCTGTTGATTTGTGTCACCATGATTGGGCAGTTGTGGGCCCAAAATTCCCTACCAGGCAAGCTTCAGGACCCCAGCCGATTCAGAGCATCAGTCCCTGTGGGACAAACCCACAAAGCGAGGGGTCAAATAAATCATGCCACACCTAGTACAGAGCACTGAGGAAAAGCACCTAGTGCAGTGAGCATCATTGCCCTGCTCACCTCTACCACCTATATGATTTCAGTTTGAGTCTAGTTAAGCCATCAGTTTGCTGGTCAGGCACACTATAACTACATTCCTGCCCAGAACCAAAAGCAGGCCTTCTGTGGGAGCAGACAGTACCTGTGATACCATTGAAACTAAGCCAGACCACCTGAGTGGAAAGGGGTGAGGTGTAGGGGAGGAGGAGCCTTACAGGGGAAGCACCAGCCGAGGTGCCCAGGATTACAGAAAAACACTGGACAAAACCTTCTGGTAGAAACTCAGGTAACATCAAGCTGTGGCAGGTGAGTTGACCCTAGTGTGGCACACCCAAGTGGGTAGGGCACGCTAGCGGCAGTGCTATAAGCGTGCGCCTGCCACACTAATGGATACTCTTAATGCCGTTGACTATGCCCCACCCAAGTACTTGACTAAAACCATTGTCTAAGAAAGTCTTGCCACCTTACAACTGAACCCATGCAGTTACCATACACAGGGCCTTACCTTTCTTCCTACCACAGTATGGCATTGAAACCTCTTAACTCCCTGTGCCTGAGTCTAACGGAGGCTGAATGACTAACTACAGGTTTCCCTCAATTTATGCTGTACATGTGTTCCTGGAGAATGGTGCATAAATCGAATTCTTGTAAAGTGAACCCACTTTACAATGTAACAAATAGGGATAGGTTCCCATGGTGGTGAGGGAGGGAGGGATTGAGGCTGGGACTAGGGAAGGGGCAGGGGTGCTGCTCCCGGGGCTGCACAAGGCACGAAAGCAGAGGGAACAGAGCAGCACTCACCCCAGCCTTGGCTGCAGTGGCCTGGGAGCAGCCGGTGCCAGCTGCCTGCAGCTGCTGAGCTGCACCATGCTCCGCCTGTCCCCATTCACCTCTGCTCCTGGGCTGGTCCAGTGGCTGCAGGCAGCTGGTGTCGGCTGCTCCTGGGGTGAGTGGGGCCACAGCCCTTTCCCTTCCCCCCACAGATTTACCTGCTGGGGGCTGGGGTATCTATGCTGATTGCATAACAGTGAATTTACCTCACATATAATGAATTATGGGTCTAAAAATGCTCATTGCATAAGAGTGAATTCACATATAAAGAACCCACATAAATCAAGGGAAATCTGTACACGTCTTAGACTGTGTTAACATACATCATCTACCCATGTACCATGTATCTGGTGTGTGTGGTCCCATATTATCTTACTACTCTACAGAACCATATAAATAACCACGATTTTTAACATTTTCCAATAAAGTTTTAAATCTGTTTCTACTCCTTGTTATACTGCTCAGTTGCAGTGTTCCATTACAGCTGAGGCTACTTCTGTTGCTAGTGTTTGAAGAACTGGCTGATAGCCTAAGTAGCAACACAGGATTTGATATACCAGGTCAGACAAATGGTTCATCTAGTTCAGTACAGGGACTTGAACAATGGAAGAAAACCTTTAGTGCCCATAGGGGCAATTTCTTCCTAACTCTCTGTCAGTTAGCTGGCTTATGCCCTGGACATATGAGCTTATATTCCCTTTCAAAATGTGTCTAATATAAATTTGTTTCATATAAATGTGCAATTAAAAAAATCTTATTAAGCTCTTGGCCTCAATGATGCATTATGGACAGGAGCTTCACAGCTGAATTATGGAACGATTTTCTTTTCATTTGTTTTATATGCTTTGCCCTTTCAATATCATTGAATATGTTTTTCTTCCTTGGTTATGAGAAATGATGAATATAAGTGTCCAAGTCACTTTTCTTGTACTATCTAGTATGCTGTATATGTTTATTATATACCTTCTTACTCATTTCCTCTCTAAATTATGGCCCACAATTTTTTTTAGCATTCTTTACGTGTCTTTCTGTATGTTTTAATTATTCTTGTGTGAACCACATCTGTATCTGCTATATCTTTTCATACAGACAGGGAAGTGAGAATTGAATGTGCTATTCTAGGTGAGTGGTATCACCTATTTACATGTATGTTATAATATATTGGCCACTGTATTTTCTTACCCATTCTTCCTACATCCTGCTTTTCTTTTTATTGTTGTTGCTCTTTTTATAACCACTGCATTTAGATTTTTATTGAACTGTCCATGATGATGTCTTCTTTTTTCCTAAGATATTAGATAAATTTGGAAGCCAGAAATTGTTCCAACTTCACTTTTATTCTTTCCAGCATGCAACAGTGCCCATTTACCACTCTTTAATAAGATGTTAAGAGAAACTTCACAGCTTCCTCTTAGGCTTGATTATCCTTAATAGTCTTATATCACCTACAGATGTTTCACATTTTTCAGATCATCAGAACTAGATTAGACAATCCAGGGGCAAGCCTGCAGCCTTGGCTATCATGGGTCATAAATAAGTTGCAAAAAACTTTGTTTAATGCTCCTGGACAATATAAATAATGTTGTCAGGTGCCTTCTTCCATTGTTACCCTATGCAAATAACCCTATTAGGACTGTACCTGTAACTGAATTTAAAGAAAATATCTATGTATACTGTTCTAGTTTTCCAAGGGATGTCTCTGACACTGTGGGCACATCCATATGTTTATTAATGAACCATGGTTATGGCACAGTAAGTTTAGTACCTAGAATGACAGGGCGCTTGTACACATGATGAAAATTGCCCATTTTTAGGGTTTAATTGCATCACATTTTACACATATGAGGGTTTTTTACGATTTAAATGAGTTTGTTATATTGCAAAATAAACCACATCCTGATGTATTTTAGTTTGCATCAATGCAATTTGCAATGATATAGCCATTGATCTGTCACGTGAACATGGTAAATCACTGAATGATGTGTAAGGAGCCCCTTTGTCCACCAGATCTTGCTACAGTTTTTGTTTAATGAGCCCTTTTGTCCTCTAGATGTTGCTTCAATTTGCAGGTATTTGTATGCAGTGGGTATTTTTGGACACCAGCCTGATATGAATCAATTTTCTGCTCACCTGCACTGACCCCTGCACCCGCCCCACATTGCCCTGGCCAGGGTTCCTGCCTGGGCTGTGCTGCCCCTGGCTCCCCAAGGGGGGTCTTGGTTGCCAGGGGCACTGTCAGCCCATAATCTGACCCTGGTTCATGCAAGGAATTAATGACCGCTTGGCTGCCTAACGTAGGAACCCAGGTGTGGTTTCATTGGCCATTCAAAGCAAATGGTAGGCGCCCAGCCCTAGGACCCCCCAGGTCCAGGGAGGCTAGGGGCGTTGGGCAAGGCTGGATGTCGGGCACCTGTCAGGGGTCCCCTCTGTCACTCCTCACCCACAGCCACCTCAGCCCCAACAGTGCCCGTCAGTGGTGGGCTGCCAGCATGGGCAGGGCAGGACGGGGATTTACCAGGTTTACCAGTTTTACCCACCCCTCTACAGGTCTCTCTGTTGATTTGACAATGAGGAGAACAAAGCCAGGCACCTTGGCTTGAGTATCTGCTAATCGCCAGCATTGAAAGAAACCTGTGCTCCTCAAGCTTATGCAAATCCTTCCCCTTGCCCTGTACACACATGGAACATGAAGTAAAGCAAATAGAAAATCTTTATTTACATAATTAAACATAATTGATATATTAAACAAAGTTTACATAATTTAAAAAAACACAAAACATTTACAAGGTAATGATAAGCAATAAACAATAATCAACAACTTTTATAACAGATAAGCAATAATAATTTCTAAGTTTCTGAGCTTGACTGCTGTTCTCTCCCCCGTGGCCAGGAATGTTGGTAGTAACCAGCAGCACACTTATAAGATGGGAAACTCCCCTCTTGAGAGCACAGAGGCAGAAAGGGATCTTGGAGTCATTATTGACTCCAAGATGAATGTGGGCTGACAATGTGAGGTCACGGTTGGCAGGGTTAACCGGACCTTGTCGAGCATCCACAGGTGCATCTCCAGCAGGGCCAAGGAGGTGATCCTCCCCCTCTGTGCAACACTGGTCAGGCCACAGCTGGAGTACTGTGTCCAGTTCTGTGTGCCCCACTTCAGGAGGGATGTGGACAACATGGAGAGGGTCCAGAGGAGGGCCACCCGCATGATCCGGGGACAACAGGGCAGACCCTACAATGACAGACTGCGGGACCTGAACCTGTTCAGCCTTCACAAGAGAAGGCTGAGGAGGGACCTGGTGACAGTCTATAAACTCACTAGGGGGGACCAGAAGGGTTTGGGGGAGACACTGTTTCCCCTAGTGCCCCCTGGCATGACAAGGAATAACGGCCACAAGTTGTTGGAGAGTAGGTTTAGATTAGACATCCGTAAGTACTACTTCACAGTCAGGGCGGCTAGGATCTGGAACCAACCTCCAAGAGAAGTGGTGCTGGTTTCTACCCTGGGGGTCTTTAAGAGAAGGCTTGATGCCTACCTAGCTGGGATCATTTGAGCCCAGTTTTTTTTCTCCTGCTCTGGCAGGGTGTTGGACTTGAAGATCTACAAGGTCCCTTCTGACTCGACTTCTATGATTCTATGAACGCCTCCTGCTGCAGTGCCCAGATATGAGGTGGCCGCTGGCAGGATGTACCTGTCTGACAATCTCGCACAGACACACCATGCAGCTGTTGATGGCACTAACGATTCTATCTGTCTGGCATCATTAACAGCCTGCCTATCTGGCCCATGTCTGCTCATTGGCAGAATACCAAGTAGAGCTGAAAATCAGGAAATGCAGGAAACAGAGTCTTTTTTGAGAGCTCTGTACTCAGCAAATCTTGTGAACGAATAAGAAGCAGTTGGGCAAAAATAACTGAGAAGAGTTTGTCTGGCTTTGAGGGGTTGCAGGCCCTGAGTGGCTGCAAACAATTGCTCACCATAGCCTCCCTGCTGTGCATTGCTTCACACCTCCCTGAACTGCCCACTAACTCACAAGGTCTTTAAAGTGGTGTCCTATGCCAACCCAACCTCTCCCCGCCCACCTTTGCCTTATAGTCCAGCCTAATTGTAGGTGTCACTTCAGGTGACAGTTGATTTAAATAATTTCATAGTTAGTAGGGTTGAAAGGGACCTGAGCAGATCATCAAGTCCGACCCCCTGCCATGGCAGGAAGGAGTACTGGGGTCAAACCACCCCAGCAAGGTGATTGTCAAGCCTTGTCTTAAAGACCCCCAGGGTAGGAGCCAGCACCACTTCACTTGGAAGTTGGGTCCAGATCCTAGCCGCCCTGACAGTGAAGTAGTGCCTCCTGATGTCTAGCCTGAATTTACCCTCTGCCAGCTTGTGACCGTTACTTCTAGTCACTCCTGGTAGTGCTCGGGGGAACAGGGACTCCCCCAGTGCCTGCTGGTCCCCTCTGACTAGTTCGTAACAGGCCACTAGATCCCCCCTCAGCCTTCTCTTGTGGAGGCTGAACAGATTCGGGTCCCATAGCCTCTCCTTGTAGGGCCTGCCCTGCTGCCCCCTGATCATG